AGAATAGATTGCAGCCTCCCACAATTCATGCTCATGATATGCATCTGATATACATGCAATTCCTACACTTCTCTTTTAGGCTAAGCAGGCTGCTTCCAAAGAACATTTTTTAGAAGGGCATAGTATCTGCAATGAAAGATGGCTCTGCAGGAAAGCAAGGGAAACTTATACACTCGTGAGCCCTGAATTTTCACATTGCCAGAGCATTTATTCCGCTTGCTCAGGAAGCCATACTTCCAGATAATTATCAGCCAAACTAGATCAGTAAACCATTACTGATCGGATAACTAAGTTGCCTTCAGCGTTTCTTCTTAAGCCACTAGACTTCCCTCTCGGATTGATGGATTCTGACAAGCCTTTCGTTCACTTAGATGTTTTGCAAAGTTGGGAGACGTTAACAGCGCCAGAAAAGCTTGCAAAAGTTCACTGGCAGGCTTATAGCGGAAGAGGATTGCACACAGATCTCGTACGTTGTTTAACTTTACACAATTCCCAGAGGAGCAGCCCTGTTAGGCTGTCACAGCCGAAACAAACAAGAGGCTTGCGACACTTTAAAAGGCTAACAAATGCATGATGGCATAAGCTTTTGCAGAGCGCAGCCCTGCTTCCTCTGGCGCATAAAGTGTTATCCTCAGTTACTCGTTTATATGTGCATGGCTTGAGGGGAATGGGGGATTGCAAACAGTGAGGTCAGGAGGGAAATGAAGCGAAGAATACGCAGAACAGCAGCCACAGTAGTTAGTGATAACACAGAAATTCTGGCGTCTATATGCTAATTAACACATATAGTGTGATTATGGGAGGGGGGGAAACCCACTAAAACTTTGTCCCAGTTCTTTTTTGCAAGCCAAATCCTATGCATATCATCTCAGAAGTAAGTCATAAGAAGAAAAGAAAAGCAATAAGACTGAATCAGGTAAGTGCTGGAGACGCAAAGAGGTTGCATATGTAGAGGACTTGTAAAAGGGTAAAAGAATATTGGGAAATGATCCATAACGAATTGAGAAAAATGTTTAAAAGGACTTTCCCCAAAAAACCAAGAGTCCTTTCTGTTGGGGAGAATTCAGACTGAAATTCCCAAGTGTCGAAAAAGGTTATTTATGTATGCCACTACTGCGGCCAGTAGGGACGCAGGTGGCGCTGTGGGTTAAACCACAGAGCCTAGGGCTTGCCAATCAGAAGGTCGGCGGTTCGAATCCCCATGATGGGGTGAGCTCCCATTGCTCAGTCCCTGCTCCTGCCAACCTAGCAGTTTGAAAGCACATCAAAGTGCAAGTAGATAAATAGGTACCGCTCCGACGGGAAGGTAAACAGCGTTTCAGTGCGCTGCTCTGGTTCGCCAGAAGTGGCTTAGTCATGCTGGCCACATGACCCGGAAGCTGTACGCCGGCTCCCTCGGCCAATAAAGCGAGATGAGCACCGCAACCCCAGTGTCGGCTACGACTGGACCTAATGGTCAGGGGTCCCTTTACCTTTACTATATATACAAATATCTACAAGCTATAATACACAAGCAGTTCATACAGTCAAACAGAGTACCTGGCTGTACCTTAAGGCAAATAAGAAAACCTTTCTCTCTCTCTCTCTCTCTCTGACCACACTCTTCTATACCACCACACTTACTGCTGGACAGGTTTCCCTTTTAAGCAGAGGACAGCCAATCAACTGACAGCACATTACTGCTGAGTCTTTCTGACTCAGCACTTCCATAGAAAGTATTGCTGGCTGATTGCATCAGCTAGCAAACTCAAGCCTGCAGACTTACTATCTCACACAGCATTCTGTGAATCCCGACACCCTGTTCTCACAGTGGCCTGCCAGAAGCCCAGAAGCAAGACCACCATACAAGAAGGCTCTCCTCACTTGCAATTTATGACAATGGGTATTCAGAGGCATACTGTCTCCAAAGCAGAGGCAGAGAACAGCACCAGTTCCAACTATTGGCTCATATTTGGGTGTGAACGGATTTGTTTTCATGTATCGACTGACCGGTGAACTCCCAGACCACTTCGACTGCAGCTTCAACCCCCAATGACTAGCGGAAGCCAATCTACTGAGTAAACATATGCAAAGGTTGCTTATACAGTCATTATTGCTTATACAATTGGTTCCGGAAGTCCTTTCGGCTCCCGAAACCGTTCAGAAACCAAGGCGTGGCTTCCAATTGGCTGCAGGAGCTTCCGCACTCAAGCGGAAGCAGCACTGGACATTTGGCTTCCGGAAAATGTTCGGAAACCGGAACATTCACTTCCGGGTTTTCGGCGTTTGGGAGCCAAAATGTAGAAGTACCAAGGTGTTTGAGAACCAAGGCACAACTGTACTTTGCATGACCTTACATTCATTGCAGAAGCTTCTCTACCAAAAGTTGAAATTCTCAAGCCAGTTTCTACCTTCCTTGTAAATTCCATGAAGTTGTACAGACAATCAAGCCCTGGTTAGAGAAATCTAGCTCTCAGACACTGAAGAACAATGGCCTCAGCTTTAAAATGCATTGCATTTCCTTTGCACTGAAATGAATGGAGTGGAGTACATATTGGCAATGTAATTTACACCATGAATTGTGTAAGTTACATCATTTCACCACAGCAAACAGACAAATAACATAGTTCTTGATGGAAGGCATAATGCAGTGGAATTGAAACAGTGCTGCATAAGACGAATACAGAACAGAATGAAAAAGCCACGCCTTCTTGCATCCCGACAACCAAGCAATAGTTTGTGGTTGCTACCAGCTGAGTCTATTCCAGTGCTTCTATGGTGCATCCCACAACATTAGTGTAATTGCAGAGTTGGAAGGGACCTAGTCCTACCCTATGCAATGCAGGAATCTCAGCACACGGTCCCCCATTCAGTTTGAAACCGGACCAGATCCTGCTTAGCTTTGCAAAGCTGCTAGCTGTCAGGGGACTGCCATTGGAACAGGGGAGGGAGGCAGGGACGCCGTTGGGATACAGGGAGCCACAGAAACTTCTGAGGAGCAGTTCCTCGTCCAGCGGTGGGAAAAGCCACACTTCCAGTGGAGAAGAGAGGGAAGGGCCCAGCCAAGCAAGGAGAGGGCTCGAAGATGCTGCTGAGAGCCCAAGCGCCTCACCTAGCCCGGTTGGCCAGGAGGCACACATGCCACTTCCATCACCCAGTTTGCGCAGAGGGGTGAAACGCAAGGAGGGGAGGCGGAGGTTTGGGGTGTCTAAGATCTTATGTTGGGGGGGAAACCAGAAGGTGCCACTCCCGGATTCTGCAAGTGACTAAGACGGACATGAACCTTGTGTATCTGCACTGTAAATAGTTTGCACAATGAAACCTGTAAAAGACAGGTCGGAGTCCTGCCTGGTTGCATTTGACAGCAGCAGTTTTATTGCTGCCTGTGTAAGATAAAAAGGAGGAGATCTCTCATATTCAAACTGGATTATGGAACAGACAGAAGCAGCAAGTTTCAGTGGCATGGCAATCTTTTTTTCCCTCCCTCCCAACTTGGGCAGGATGAAATTCTCACACTGGACTCTGGAGCCATAGTTCAACAATCCATCGAGACAGAAATACTCCTCTCTATTCAGTCTGGGGCCTTATGTAGTACCTAGCAGCTCCTAGAGCAGGGATAATTGACATGTGTTGATGGACTTCAAATCCCAGGCTGCCCCAGCCGCTGTGGTCAATGTTTAGAGAGAATGGGGAGTGTTAGTGCAAAAACATCTGGAAGGATGCAGTTTAGCCATCCCTGCCTGAGAGATCAGATCTGTGGAAGCCACATCAATCTGCAACAAAGCACTCAGGCTAGAGAAAGCTCAGGCAGCTTAATATTTTGCATGGAAGACGATGCCACAAAAGTAAATAAGATTTCATCACCTTAGTACATGAAAAATTAAGGCAATATGTGCTTTCCAGCATACTTACCGAATTAATTATCCCCCGGAGGGCTTGGAATCCTTCCTTGACTGGGAAGACTTGCTCCTTAAAACCAGCTATCCTTTCAAGCTAAGGAAGTAAGGACAAATGCATTGGCAAAAAATACGAAAAGCTGAACCAGCCTTTGAAAAACAACCATCACGGACCAGTATCCTGGTTTCACTGTGGCCAACCAGATGTTCACGGCAACTGATATTCAGAGGCCTACTGCCTGCAGTAGTGGAGGGAGAACATAGCCATTATGGCTAGTCACAAACTGAAGGATGCATGAAGGAGAACCACACAAGAAGATGGGGCCGTTTTTGCTCTTTGTAGCTGTTCTCAGACAAAGAAAGATGCTGCTTGAATGCAACTTGTATTTTTAGCTGGGGTAACAGCTGCCAAGAAAAACAGCAAAGCTTTGGCCATGTGTACAACTCTTCCTCCTGTCTGTATGTCTGTTCCTTGGGTCCTTGTCCAACAACGTTCATTTTATTTATTTATTTTTTAAAGTCAGATCTGTGCCTAATTTTTCCTATGAGAAGCTTTGCCCAAGGCATCAGAGACCAACCGCCAATGAGAATAGACAACACTGGGTTAGACTGGCCAATGGCCTGGCTCAGTGTAACAGGGGTGGATAACCTGGGGCCCTCCAGTTGTTGCTGGACTATGATTCTCACCATCCCTGGCCATCAACCAGGCTGACTCAGACTCTGGGGGCTGTAGTCCATCACCATCCTTTAGATGGCCACAAGTTCCCCATCCCTGCAGCAGATGGTAGCTTCAGACTTGGCCTCTACATGCAGCAGAATGAGGAGGTGACAGAATGGGCCGTACCAACCTGCAGGAGGGGGATCATGGTTTTGAATGCTTTCCTACATGCAAGATTCACTGCAAACACAAACTGCTTTGTCATATATACATCTACATCTACATCTACAGCTGTAGCTGTAGCTGTATCTACCGTAGAATTGTAGAGTTGTGCCCTGCCTCCAATGGAGGTCCCTGGGCAGCAACAGGAGAACAGGCCTTTTCTGTTGCTGCTCCTCATAGAATCATAGAGTTGGAAAGGACCACAAGGGTCATCTAGTCCAACCCCCCGCAATGCAGGAATCTTTTGCCCATTGTGGGGCTTGAACCCACAACCCTGAGATTAAGAGCTTCATGCTCTCCCTACAGCAATAAAGCATAACACCATACAATAAAATCCATCTACACAAGTTAAAAACAGACATTGTGGAAGGATGCATTTTGTAATTGCCTACATAGGACTGGATGGAATAGGAAGGTTTTTGTGTGTTTTAACATGGAGGGAAGTGGAGGGACAATTCAAAATAGGTATGTCCTACTGACAACCTAAGGATTTTGCGCCTTCATTCTGCTGCATATACAGGGCAGGTCTCCTAGAAGGTGTATCCAATACCAAGGAAGTGAGTAAATCTTCAAACATTGCCAGCAACTTGTTTATCGTCTCAACACGGTGTCCTGTAATATAGCCCCTACCTGGTCTTGGTCAAAATCAAGGACTCCGACGCAGTAGACTCTTGCTCCCATATCTCTGGCAAGCTCTGCCTTGAATGGAAATAAATCAATAAAAATTTTATGCATTTGCTAGAATATAACAAGGTCCTGGTCTGACTGCACTAGCTACCAATTCATTTCTGGGCCCAATTCAAAGGCCTGGTTTTGACCTATAAAGCCTTAAACAGCTCAGAACTGCAATACCTCAAGGACCACCTCTCCCCATATGAATCTACCTGGACCCTGAGATCATCTTCTGAGGCCCTTCTTCATGCGCCTGCTCCACAAGAGGTCCAGAGGGTGGCAACACAAGAACAGGCCTTTTCTGCAGTCGCTCCCCATCTGTGGAATGCTCTCCCCAGAGAGGCTTGCCTGTCACCTTCATTATACACCTTCAGGCGCCAGGCAAAATCGTTCCTCTTTAACGAGGCCTTTGATTGATCCAATGCCCTTTCAAAATGTGTTGGGGAGGGGGGTTACTGGGTTGCTTTTCTTTCCATTTCAATTATGTCTTTCGTGATTTTTATCTTGTGATTTTGTCGTGTGAACCACCCTGAGATCTGTGGGTATAGGGTATAGGGACGTGGGAGGCGCTGTGGTCTAAACCACAGAAGATCAGAGGATCAGCAGTTCAAATCCCCACGACGGGGTGAGCTCCTGTTGCTCTGTCCCGGCTCCTGCCAACCTAGCAATTTGAAAGCATGCCAGTGCAAGTAGATAAATAGGTACTGCTCTGGCGGGAAGGTAAATGGTGTTTCTGTGCACTCTGGCACTTGTCACAGTGTTCCGTGTGCCAGTACCGGTTTAGTCATGACCCAGAAAACTGTCTGTGGGCAAATGCCGGCTCTCTCAGCCTGAAGCAAGATGAGCGCCCCATAGTCGCCTTTGACTGGACTTAACCGTCCAGGGGTCCTTTAACTTTTCCTTTACAAATTTAATAAATAACAACAACAACGCAAAGGGAAGCACTGAACTAAGGAGGAGGCACAGTTTCAATTCAACACTCACCTCTTTTTCTGCATATTGCGGTATATACCCTTGCAACTGTCCATCCGTCAGAGCGATGATGATGCTGTTTGACTTCAAGGCTCCGACCTCCTTGATCTGCTTATTTGCCTGAAAAACAAAAAATGTGTGCTTATCACTGTCACTGGGGGGCTGAGAACTGGGACAAGAAGAATATAGCCATTTCAGATAAGGAGATGTGGGCTGCTGAAATTATTAACAGTTATAATAACTAATGAGCTAAGGGCCCATTAAGCTGAGGCCAAGTTAGACAAAGTTGATTCAGGAATCTTTTGCTCTATGTGGGGCTTGAACCCACAACCCTTGCTTGGCTGGGTTTTTTGAGGGGTTGTTTGTTCTATAGAACCAGGAGGAGTGGAAGCAACTGGATTGGGGAGGGGAGCTTCCCCCATTGCCCCTGCTATGGTCCTGATCTAATCTACCCTCCTGCTTTAAAAAAAACAGCCACACAAGAACTAAATATGTAACTAATTCCATGTCACAATTGACCCAAGAAGGGCAAGATACCTTGAACAGCAACAAATCATAGAATTATTGTTTGTAGAGTTGGGATGCAATGGAGGACTCATTTGCCCAACGTGGGGCTCAAACTCATGACCTTAGATTAAGAGTCTCATACTCTACCCACTAAGCCATGAGCCACTATATCATTTAACAGAGAGGGGAAGGAAAACCTACTTCTTTTATTCCTTCATGTATGTATGTTTCACCTCCTGGCTTAACATTACTCAGCTCTTCAAGGCCTCTCTGAATTTCATTCCTGAAAATGAAGAAGAAAGCAAAGGATTATTAAACATTGTATTGAAAATATCGCTGAATCCTTCAAGCATTCCTGATCCCATCTGGAAAGATCTTAAGAAGAGAAGAAGAGTTCTGCTAGATCAATCCAAAGGCCCACTTAGTCCATCACTCTGTTCTCACAGTAGTGACCAACCAAGATACAAAGCTTGCAAGCAGAACCTGGGTGCAACAACCCTCCCGACACTTGTGATTCCCAAAAACTTGTATTCAGAGACTTACTGTCTCCAATGGTGGAGATGCAACATAAGGTCAACCTTTGGTACCAGCCATGATGGCTACCATCAATTCAATGAGATACAGTGTTACCTCGGTTTAAGAACAGACCTGCTTACCAACGATTCGGGTTATGAACTTTCGCAAAACCAGAACTTTACCTCGGTCTAAGAACGGAAACCAAATGGTGGAAGGGCACTGGCAGTGGGAGGCCTCATTAGGGAAAGCATGCCTTGGTTTAAGAATGGTTTCAGTTTAAGAACAGATTAAGTTCGTAAACTGAGGTACCACTAGACACTGAAAACACCTGCATAAAATAGGGCTGGGCGTCATACTGATATCTTGTCTAAAACTGACTTGAAGTCCATATTGTGTTATCAGTTTCATAATTTCTGACGTGGCAATATATCCCAAAACATGATGTGTGTGTGTGTGTGTGTGTGTTATGCAAAAATCACAATGTGGGGAAAACTGTGAAACCAGCCAATGCCTCTACATAGTTCCACCCTTATTTCAGACATCATGATATACAGTGGTACCTTGGGTTAAGTACTTAATTCGTTCTGGAGGTCTGTTCTTAACCTGAAACTGTTCTTAATCTGAAGCACCATTTTAGCTAATGGGGCCTCCTGCTGCCGCCGGAGCACGATTTCTGTTCTCATCCCGAAGCAAAGTTCTTAACCTGTGGTAATATTTCTGGGTTAGCGGAGTCTGTAACCTGAAGCGTATGTAACCTGAAGTGTCTGTAACCTGAGGTACCACTGTATCATCTCTCACCAACATCTCTCATGATGTTGAAAACCAGGCATCACCCAGCCCTAGCATAAAGTGGACCCCCAAATCCAAATTTTGTAAGCAGAAATATATTGCCCATAAAATGGCAACGCTGGAAAAATACCTGATAGCAGGCATTCACAACTGCCTCTTTTTCCGCACAGTTCGACTGAATCTTATGTGCGTTTAATTTGTGCGATTTCAGCCTTGCGTGGTTGAAAGCCGGACAGTTGAAATTGTGCAAGTTAAATGCATGCAAGGTTTTCCTGGTGCAAAAAGTGCTTTCAAGCTCTCTGTCTTGCTTACCAGGCAAGGCTTGCTCAACCCACCAGCTCCAAGATGCTCTGGGATGCTCATGCGAGGATGGTTCCAAGGGTTTGAGTATATGGGTTTCCATGTATACGCAGAACCCTTGGAACCTAACACCCACATTTGCAAATGCCGATTTTTTGAGGCACCGTTGATCCCTTCCCTGCTTCTCACCCATAAAAAGCCTTAAGCCAAAATCTAAAAGGTAAGATTGGGAAAACTTGCACAAAGCAATTTATATCTGTACTGGCAGTCCTGGTTTCAGCGGAAGACATGCTGTGCACTATAGATGGCAGCTGAGCAAGTTACGTAAAAGTTAATGCAATCTGTTTAATCCAAAATATTTTACACTTGGTGTCTATTGAAAACAACTTGAAAATGATTATGTACGAATGCAGATTACAAAGCAGACACTTTGTGCTTGCCAGAAATGAGTGGCAGCATGTCCACAGGCCCCGCAGCGCTTCTGCTGCCAAGAAACAAACGACAAATCAAGTTCCAGTCTTTCTGAAACAGATTTCGCAACGCAAAAAATAGCTCTCGTACAATCAGTTCAGTTTTATTTATCCAGCATACAACCAAGACCTCCCAGCAATCTGACACCTCCAGACCTATTTCAGCTCTGGGGCCCAATGAACATATATATATATTGTTTTTAAAAGAAAATCTAAGAAAGAATAAGATTCTGCAAGCAAGGGGGGGGGAGCAGGTTGCCATCTGTCCACTAATATTCTGGAACAGAACGTAAGAATAGCCTGCTGGATCAGAGCAAAGGTCCATCTAGTCCAGCATCCTAGCTTCACAGTGGCCGCTGAGTAGCCCACAAGTAGGCTGTGATACCCAGTTGCAGCCTCTCCACCTGCAATTCCCAGAAACTGATAACCAGAGGCACACTTTCCCCCGACTCTGGATTTTCTTCCAGAAATATATATATATAAAGAACCACATTCTGAATTCCATCTCAATCCCTGGGACCAACTGCCCTACACCCCAAACATATTTCAACAACAAAAGCTGAGATTTACACAATTGTATAGGGGACGCTTTGCTGAAACAAAGGCGAAACAAAAACAAAAAGACCAACGACGCCAATTCCTAAGAGATGGACACCTTGCAATAACAGACCCGTTCTGTGAGACTCGTCTTAGAATTCAAGACAACAGGAGGAAAGGACGATCACGTTGACGGCAACTTGGAGGCTGCTCTGCATGTGATGAATGGTTACAAATAGAACGTCTCCTCTCAATGCAACATATGTGCATGAATCTCACACCTCTGCCTTTCAGAAAAGGCACATTTATATCCCCAACAGTTACCCTGCCTACCCCTCCTAACAATTGCTTCAACAAGTCTTTCAAACTTGCAACCGAGAACAAGGAAGAAGATGGCTTCGTCCCAATTAATCCACCACCATCGCCAGCTAACGCAGATTTAGACTGCACTTTAGAGTGTCTGCAGTGCTCACGTACCTTGTCCTGGAAATCCTTGCAACATAGCTGAGTTGGCTACAGCATGGTGCAGATAATGCCAAGGTTGCAGGTTCGATCCCCATAAGGGACAGCTGTATATTCCTGCATTGCAGGAGGTTGGATTAGATCAGTTTCCCCAACTTGGGTCTCCTCCAGCTGTTTTTGGACTACAACTCCCACCATCCCTAGCTAGCAGGACCAGAAGTCAGGGATGATGGGAAGTGTAGTCCAAGAACAGCTGGAAACCCAAGTTTGGGAAAGCCAGGACTAGACGATCCTCAGGGTCTCTTTCAACTCTGTGATTCTAACACTGCAAGGTAGGAAGCATCACCTGCAGTAGAATGGAGTGGCCTGTAATACTTGAAGGCTGCATTGACAGCAGTGGGGTGCAATGGTTAGAGTGCTGGACTGGGACGTAGAGAGATCCAGGTTCAAATCTCCATTCGGTCATCAAGCTCAATAGTTGACCTTGGGTCAGGTGCTGCCTCTCAGCCTACCTTACCTGTTGTGAGGATAAAATGGGATGGGATGAACCATCTACACCACCCTGAGCTTGGAGGAAAAGGGATGTATAGATGTAATAACAGGAAATAAATAATCCTGCATTCTGAAAGCAACCACCCATCATGGCTGCTTGTGATTCCTGCATTGCAGGCAGTTGGTCTATACAGTGGTACCTCGGGTTACATATGCTTCAGGTTACAGACTCCGCTAACCCAGAAACAGTACCTCGGGTTAAGAACTTTGCTTCAGGATGAGAACAGAAATTGTGCCCCGACGGCGCGGTGGCAGCAGGAGGCCCCATTAGCTAAAGTGGTGCTTCAGGTTAAGAACAGTTTCAGGTTAAGAACAGACCTCCGGAATGAATTAAGTACTTAACCCGAGGTACCACTGTATGAGTCTCTTCCAACTCTAAACTTCTATGGGTCTTTGAAAGGTGTCCTTATTACTTATAACAAGGAGCCACTACTGGCACTGAATTGGGCCTAAAGCGAATTCCTCACCAACGGTAAAACTGTACTATTTAAGAAACACTTCAGGTGATTAAAAAGGAACCGCAATTTTATTACTGGTGGGGAAATTGCCTTAGGCCTAATTCAGGGCCAACTTAATTCAGTGTCACTTAAAATAGTATTTATTAGCATCAAAAGCTAGGGGTGGATGGCGGGGAAAGCAATGTTGCAATTTGCTTACCTGTCTTGTGTTAATGGAAGAATGACCGTTGCTTGCATGGAAAACACGATGAAGGAGACCCTCATCTGGTTGCTTTTAAAGACAAAGAAAAACATCCATCTCAGAGACATAAATCAAACAGCTGTGCCCACGTGCGTTTCAATGGGATCTGTGTCAAGACAGGACTCTGAGGATCTCTCCATCTTAACCTTTATGACAGAATCCGAGTAAACACAAAGCCCACACAGGAAATAGCTAACATCTAATATCTCCCTCCTTGCTCAGCAGTTCTGTATTTCAGCTGACATACTGCATAATCGTAAGAGCTGTGCCGATCAGACCAAAAGCTCATCTGTACCAGCGCCCTGTTCTCAAGGCGGCCAGCAAGATGCTTTTCGGAAACCCCAAAGCAGGATCTAAACAGGGTTTTCTCCGCCGATGGGTCCCAGCAGCTGCTGTCCGGAGTGGCACTGCCTCTGAGGTCCTGCCAAAGGGCCAACCTTATCTTATACATATCTGTAGTTTATAAGAATGGTTTTTTCTGTTAAAATGAGAATTTAATACACACTTTCATATGGAATTGGATCCTGCTAGTGGTTGAACTGTGTTCTGGGACGCCCCACTGTGTTTAGAACGCCTGGACACTATAACCAAGCTGCGGTGGAAGTGAAAGCTTCTGAATTTCTTCTCCTGACTTCAGAGGGGAAGGGAGAAAGTGAGCCCAAGGCTCCCTGCAGCTTGTCCCTGCTTAGGCATATTGCACCAAACCATGGTTTAGTGTGACATCTGAACACAGTCACTCTGGCCCCTATAAAGACTCCCAGGTCAGGACTGCTCTTTGGTCTGAACAACTAGGAGATACTGAACCTTGTTGGCTGTAATAAGCCATCTAACCTTGCCCCC